CGTACTCTATTGACATACCTCACCCACGTACTCTATTGACATACCTCACCCACGTACTCTATTGACATACCTCACCCACGTACTCTATTGACATACCTCGCCCACGTACTCCATGACGAAGGTGCCCTTGCGAATGCGTTGCAACGTCTTCACGCCCCAGCCACGATTGTTCTCCGTGCGAAAGATGCACAGCTTACACGTGGGACCTGTCAACGACAATCGCGCGCGCGTTAGCCGTTACCCGTGGCACCGCTCCCGTGTTCTCGCGTCAGCGGTTGTAGCTGGCCACTCTCGTGTCAACACTGCTCAGGCTTCGCCGTCTGAGAAAACCACGGGGCCTAAAAAAACATGCCCCGTTATTTACCCGACGGGGCTGAATTTCTCTAGACGGGGCCGACTTTCGTTTTCGATTCTCGGAATCTTAAAATTTGACGGGGCCGTAAAAAAAGCCCTGTGGACACTGGAGACGGGGCTGTTTACGGAGCTTGGCCAATCGGCTCCCGTGAAAAGAGGAAGCCTGACTGCTACGATTACCGCAACTATACTCGCACGATTTCTCCTACCGGGACTATTGTTCTTGGCACCAGTAACAGTTAAAAACTAGTGCCACCTACTCGCACCCCGAGTACAAGCTACCATTAAAACCAGTACTAGAAATGCCATTCACATTGCCATCTTCACTGCAGCTACTGCCGCCACCACTGGCACCAGCGCCACCTACCAACTACTACCAACATCAGAACCCCTAATACCACTTCCACCGGTACTACAATAGAAAAGTGGCACCCCCTACTCCAGCACCATTATTACCTTAATTACTGTAACTTATGGTAATAATCATAACCAGGGTAAAAAATACACGGGGAGCGATAAGCGATTCGCTCTTCAAACCTCCGAAATCGCTCCCGTGAGGTTCAAAATAGCTCCGTAAAATTTTTGGCGAAAAGCTATTTTCTCCACAGACTTATGAAAAAGAGCTCCCGTGAAAAAAAAGTTTTCCCCCCTGGCAGCCGCTGGTACCACCGGGGCCACCTACACTACGCACCTTTCTGCACGACGCGGTTCGGACACTCGGGGCCGCAGCGGCAGCGCTTGTTACACTCGTACACGGGGCACCCGCGCGGCAGCCGCATTCGCCCGAGCCGCGTGTACGCGAAGTGCGCTCCGGACGCCGGCGCGCAGCACGCGCCGCCCCGCGCCTCCCAGCAGTCCCCGCACTCGCAGCCGATGAGCGGGTCCGTCGGGATGCCGATGTCCGCGCCGGCCTTGTAGTCGATGATGTACCTAAAGTCCTGCGGCGGTCCCTCGAGGTCCACATCGTTGACGACGACGACGGGCGGGCCGCCGGTCGGCCACGCCGCGATCAGCGCGTTGATGGAGGCCGCCCACTCGGCGAGGGCCTGGCGGGCGACCGCCCGCTTACCCTCGTGCTCCCGCCGGGGGGCGCCACCGTCGGACGCGGACGCGGCGGTCTTGGCGCGCTTCAGCTGCTGGCGTCTCAGCTGTACTTCCACCTCGCGCTTGCGCTTGCTGTTCTTCAGCTTGACGATGCCAGCCGCGACCAGCCGGTGGAACTCCTTCAGCAGCTGCCTGCACGCGGTAACCATGACAACGGTTAGTCACGAACGATGCGGGGCGGGGATGGGTGCACGCAGCTAGAACCATTAGTGATGGGAATCGGTTGGAATTTCATTTTCATTTCACGTTGCCATAGTGTTGGCAGGATCCGCACGGCTTGAATCATGTGTCATCACGTATGATGACACGATCTCGAACAGGGGATTTGGTTAACGCCGGTAGCAAAGTTGGTCAGCGCAGAAGAGAAGCTTGGGGGCTTGATGCTAATGTTAGTTACCTGCAGAACAGATTTTCTTTAGGCTCCCACGAGTTGTATTTCTTACCCCAACCTTTCCACTTCACCAAATAATAGCCTTGTCCCTAAAAAAACAGAATTTATTAATTTTATTTATATCATTTATCAAAAACTTTTACAAAACAATTTTGGAATCATTAAAAAGTGCATGATACTTCACGAGTTGGTGGCTGACGATTATGATTATATATATGATATATTATAATACCATCGGCATCTTGATAGTTACAGTTATGTTACTCTTTGAACCTACCAGTCGTCTGTATAGTCAGTATCCCATATGCAGAGGACTCCAGGTCTAAGTTAACGACAGTATTACTATAGTCATTGCGTACATGTGGGTATATAGTCAATATCGCAAATCAAACAAAAGGTCACGCAAACACAGACTACGAATCTGTTCCACTGGTTAAAAGTAGCTATGTCACATGCAGACCTATATCCATGTAGGTCCCCACCTCCAGATGTGACTCGTCAATATATCCCCTGCTTTATCTAATTTTAAAAAGATTGAAACAAAATTGATCATAATAAGCCGTCACTTACATCTGCATTAAAATGGTCCACTATGGTCTCCACATCATAGACAGGTTGATTGCTATCTACCATAACAGACCCCGTCTTGTCTATAACTGAAATGGAAATGACACAAAACACTCATTCACCCACAAAGATGACCACTAAAGGACGATGTATTCTTCCTGACATCATCAACGATTTACCGCACAGATGTGTATGGTAAAGCTCGCAACTCGTGATAGAGTTAATCGGGTCCAACGACCCATCGCGTTATATATCCGAATTCGCGTTAGATCGGGACGCGTAAAATCGGGGTTCCACTGTACTTTAACCCATTCACCACAATTGATTGCCTTTCCCTATATTGCAGAATATGTCAGCTACTTCCTAGCTCATGGGGTGGCAGTTGCCCCAGTACTCTAAAGCCAGCTCTACAACATTCAACAAGCGTACAATAAAGAAAAATCTGAATAAAGCACCTGGCCTAATGCACAGTGTGTAACAGCAGTGACCAAGTTGTGGGACTCAAACTCCATTTATCCCGAAATGCTGAGGGCTAACAGTTAGGCCACCTTTCGCCCCAAAGGAGCTATAGGTGGCAGCATGGTGCAGTCCGACGCATTTCTCGGGCCACGCAATATGGCAGAACAAACTACTGCACTAGGCAGAGTACAAGTGTGATTAAAAACAAAGTGCAGTGTGTAAGTCGATTCCTAACCTCTCTGTGACGAATCGTTCATCTTGTCCGAACCTTGATGATAGCCATCATCACCATCGTGGTCACCGTCACTCTGGTAGTCTTCCTCGTTGTTTATTATAATATCGTCAGCCTTGCACTTATCTTTGAGATAGTGGAGGGTTTTGAGGCAAGGCACATAGCACAGTCTTGTTTTCTTCATTGCCATAGTCTGCGTAGAATTCACCTCTCCTGTAAACGTAGGTTAAACAAGCATGTATTTCGTACTTATTGCAGTGCAGTTAAAGTAAACTAGTCAAAGTTATTCACTATCTACTCGGAGAATCCAACGGGTAGATTTGCAAAAGGTTCGTTAACAGTTCTTCAATCACTGCAGTTTTCGTTCGCTCTCCTTCTCCTCCTCTCCTCCTCCTGCTCCTCCTCCTCTCCTCCTCCTCCTCCTCTCCTTCTCCTCCTCCTCCTCTTCCTCCTCCTCCTCCTCTTTTCCACCACCCCTACTGTTTCCCTCCTCCTCACGACTAAACACTGTAACATTAAGATGCCCTTTATCACTCTAATATTCATAGCAAATAGTTATTATGCTGATTTCAGTTTAATGCAAATTTTGCATTTTAATAAACACGTTTCGGCCTTCTGTTAAATTGACAAGACCTGGCATTTAGGTACCTTTCAGACACTATATCAGTCACGCATTTATAGGTGCTATGAGTACATGCTAGATTCATATAGAATCATATGCGCAACATCTATTGATCGGTGTGTGCACCTGCGAAGCATTGGTAAATATAGATAGCAACGCTGAGAGGGTCTATGTCCCCCAGGGTACTATCGGAGGATACCCTGGGTACAGTTGGATATATCGGAACGTAACCTGGTACTATCTAATATGCCGGACCGTACCTCGCCTACTTCACTAACGAGTCTAGGGAGTCGCCTACGCCTACTCCCTAACCCTAACCATATCAGATAGTTACCAGGGTACGTTCCGATATATCAAACCGTACCCAGGGTACCCTCCAATAGTACCCTGGGGGACATAGACCCTATGAGTGATAACAACAGGTGCTGTGAGCTTGCTGTTAGAAACAGAAGGCCATGTCAATCACTGGCAGGCAGGCTTCTGTGGCAAACTGAGTTCTTAAATGGAAGATTGTTGTCCCTTTAAAGCTAATGGAGAATACAGCTCGGTCCTCTGAGTTCCAATTAAGGTTGTTAATTAAGACATGGACAACTTTAGCAAGTGGAGCTTTACGAAATGCTTGCTGAGTGTCTGCGACTATTATCAGGCTATACTTTGGATATTTGTGGGGAAAATATGAATAACCCAGATGAGGGCTTGCGAAACGCAGCCCTGTAAACATCATTATACGAGTATAGCAGACTTGATAACCAATTTGTTATATGCAAACAATGGTAATATGTAACGGTAAGGGGCGGATTTGATCGTACAGTAATCTATTATATCATTATCTGGAACACGCACACACACACACACACACTCGCGACGCCAGGTCAATCTGGTTGAATTCAGATAAATATATACTTCGCCCATGTTGTATTTAAGCACAGCGATGTATAAAATGCATAGTTATCATAAGTAGAACACAATACATGAGTTTACTGTACTTTCACGGCTCATGTTTTATTACATAATTATTAAATCGAATCGGATCGAATCGGATCGAAATATCGAAAAAAAATATATCAATAATCGAATCGAAATAATTTGATACCAATGACAGCCCTACCCCAGGGTACTGCTGGAACGTACCCTGGGTACGGTCTGGTATACCGGAACGTACCCTGGTAACTATCTGATATGGTTAGGGTTAGGGTTAGGGAGTAGGCGTAGGCTACTCCCTAGACTCGTTAGTGGAGTAGGTGAGGTAAGGTCCGGCATATTAGATAGTATCAGCAGAGCATATAAATCACGTTGATTTATATGCTCTAGTACCAGGGTACGTTCCAGCAGTACCCTGGGGGACATAGACCCTATGAGACTCCCTGATTTGACCGTGCGACTCCCTGAAAACTTTGCTATACTAACTAGTTCGTTCCAGAGCGGCCTCCTTATTATTCCCACGCAAAATTAGCGTATTGTTTTAGCAAATGTCCCATGAAAATTTGGCGGACATGCAACGCAAATGTCCTTTTTGTTAATATTTTTAGTTTTGAACATCAGACTGAGGACTCCCTTATTTTACTACGGACTCCCTCTTTTTAGCTCATCTGACATAGTCAGATGCAGCTTGTAGAATCGCATGATTGTCCGTCTGTCCGTGCGTCCGTGCGTTCGTCCGTCAACAGTTGGGCACAAATCTTAACCGCTCGACGTACGGTCACGATATTCGGGACGTCGGGGGGATCGTGAAAAGGACTCGGGATGACCAATTTGGGGTCAAGGGTCAAAGGTCAAGAGGTGTAATCGGAGGGGGAATATTTTCCCCTTACTTAAGGTATAGGAGGAAATACGGAATTGCGGCACAAATCTGAACGGCTCGACCTATGCTCTTAATATTCAGTGTATAGTGTGATGGGGAGGAAACCTATCACCAGTACGAAATTGGAGGTCACAGGTCAAAGGGCAGTGGGGGAAAGGTCAGATATCAGACATTTTCTGAGGATGTGGGCAGAGTGAAAAACTTTTTTGTTTCAGCGCTGACCTACCATTTTTATCACTTTATTGAAAGGATCATGAAATGTGCTTTCCACTGACGTGCAAATAGCAAGTGTCTGATAACCTTTTGACCCTCAAGAGGAGGGTTAAACATGGATTTGTTGACTGTTAACAAAGGACTGAACTGCTTTTGGCATTATCAGAGCCATATACCTGTGTGGATGTGAGGCTACATTTGCAGTTCAATTGCAAAGACAAAAGTTTGTTGAACAAGTTTTACGCTCCTTAAATCATATTATTTTCTAAAGCTGTCTGTATATTAATAGCACCCTGAATGCTCGCGTGGCTGCCGTCATTCAAAATGAAGGCAAAAACCTGGGGGAAACCCATTACTCATGCATTGGGTGAACTGGCACTTCCATTCTAATAAACATGCACACCTGCAATGCAGATGTGTTTAATTTATTACTCACAGCTGAGCGAAATTGTCGCCTGCCTGAATATACTTGGATTTTAGCCTGTGAATTTTCAGTAACTCAATGAAATTAGGTTATCTCTACTTTCTTGTCTTATCACCAACGTACGAAGGGCGATGCCATCTTTGATTATTGATTACACTTGCACGCGCCTTCTCAGGGCAACTATAGGCCTAGTGATACATTATGACACGATAAATAAGACAGTCGAGCAGGTATGAAGTAGGATGCAGTGTTAGGGTTTAGTTTTAGTATATAGTGTTAGTTATAGTGTTAATACCTATGCTAAACAGTCTTTGCCGGTTTAGCGATGGAACAGGCTTTCAACCTTTTGCAGTTCAGAAACAAAGGCCAGTACAGTAGAGCAGCAGACCTCAGATGAGCACTGTCGCTCATGCGGCACTTGTTGAGGGTATGGAGTCCGTTGAACTCGCTTGTTTAAAAGTTAATTTCTACCCTTGTATATATGTAAAGCTGAGTTGTGATAGTCTCATTGATTAGATTAGACATCATGAACAGATTAAATATTACTAGTCCCTTGAAAGAGCATCATAAAGAATGACCCTGTAGTCTCAACGTAATTAATTAGGGAATTATGTGTCACGAAACATGTCTAAGGAACATTTATATTCTCTGGACCCAACCCTCATACGTAGCAAAAATCTAAAAAAAAAAACTGGCTGTAGTCTAACAGATGACGTCAAGACCTCTTTCTTATCACATACAATTAGTTGACTGAAATAATAGCATTAGCAATGAGACATTGACACCATGTGTCTTATAATCCCAGAGAAGAACTACACTGTTGTTATATATACGTAATATCACCTGTCTCCATTGCAGTTCCTTGAGCAACACAGTGTTTTCATTATTTTTATTAATTTATTGGTGGTACATTAGTAAAACTGATCCCTAATCAGGATATAAAAAAACATCAAGTAAATGCTTATCATGAGCTGGGCCAAGGAGACGTGTCAATCCCACTCATGAGTCATCATCAGGGGAGGGGGGAGGGCGTGATTCACTGTAGAGTGTGATGAATGATCCCCCACCCACCTGGAAATGCTGAAGGGAAGTGAGTAAAAAGGGAAAATAAAGGAAAGATGAGAGAAATGAGGGAGGGAGAAATGCAGACAGAGAAGTGCATACGCATGCGCAGTACACACGCGCAGACAAACGACACACACACAGGTACGGATGCACATATTTCTTCTAGCATAGTTACTTCTCTCGCCTTCTCGCTCACTAAGGGTTTATTAATGTGATCCAGGTAAGTTTTAGAGGTGACATGCAGTGATTAAGATTGGGGTTATTAAATTAATCCAGGTATGTTTTGTTCTGTGTATGAATTTCCGATAAAATGTCCTTGAATTTCCGATAAAATATCCTTGAAAAGTCTTTGAAAGGTCCTTGGAAAAAATTTCAGTCCTCCTGTATGAACCATGCAAAATGTAGGGGTGAACTTGCTGGTTTGCTGGTTCTAAATCGCCATAGATTAATTTTGGTACTATAACACGCGTATATAAGATAGCCGAGTCGGTTTAGAGTTAGTGTTAGGGTTAGGGATAGGGTGACTGTTTGTATTAAATATTTGAACTTCATGTATATACACCAGCATGGCGGCTATGATATTTAGCGTGGCGGGTGCATTTTACTTAGGATGACGGGGCTCGACGATAGCCTGGCGCGGCGCCAGGCTATAAGTGCCCTTGGAGAACCCTGGGTTTTAGTAAATACACAACATACATTTCATGTAACATATACATATTCACATTAAATGACTACAGATTCAAAGTCCAAACTACTTAAAAACTTTAAACTACATTAAAAACGTGATGAATTATTCTGTTATATATATTCTTTATGTATTTCACACAAGCACGGTGGGTCGATCACCACGGCTACAGGGCCGTAGCCTGGGGGGAGGGCAGCTGCCCCCCCTAAATTTTGGAGCAAAATAAAAAAAATAAAAAATCCTAGTCAGAATGAAGGCTGTACATGCACTCAAAAGTGCCTCAAATACCATCTCCTGCGATCTACATTTTCAAAATTTTCTGTGGGAGTACCCCTAAACCCCCCACGTGTTTCTCACCCTCTCCTTAAAATCCTGGATCCGCCACTGCCCCCCCCCCTAAGATTTTGCTCAGCCTACGGCCCTGGGCTACATCAATTGGTCCTTAAATCTGCAGTTATTAGCATGAATATAGTGAATGTTGTGTATGTGCCAAAACTCTCTGGGTATTTTAATTCGTTTTCTGTCAAACTTATTTCGGGCTGCCAGAATTTTTCTCTATCTGAAGGCTCTGATGCCTGCTGCTTATGGACGCCCTCTACCAGTGCAAAACACTTCTAATCGCCAATAGCGAACGCGCCATTTTTTTGTACGCCCTAAAACCTTTAAATAAGGAATTGTGTCGCAGACAGGCCATTTAAAAGGCACGCAATTTGAACTCCGAGGCTAAAAATAGAACATCGTTCAAAACATGTATGTGTTTACAAACATTGTTTGACAGAACCCGTCTATACGACACAAAAATCGATTGCAGGTGTTCTGAAATTTTGATTGCGATGGAGTGCTGAATCGATCGCTCCCCATCGCTGCCTGAGTGTTGACAAGATTAAAACTGTTTTATTTGTTCGGCGCAAAATATCGACTACTGATTGTAAATTTTTGATTGCGTTGTCGTAGGCGACAACGATAACAGACGCGATCGTTCGTGTAGACATTTCTGATCGCGCAAAAGTAGACGCAGCAGCATTCTCATCTGAGCTGCTGCACAGACTTGTTGTGGAATCTAGCAGTTGTTTAATAGCAGCGTGGGAGCGCGAGAACGCAAGCATGGTGCGGCTGTTAATTCTCCTGCTCGCATTTAATTCCCATTCGTTTGCGATGGAGAGGTTCATAGCTTCTAAGAATCGGAATGCTGACTTGATGAACATTGCTGAAAGCGCTGCACAACCTGGATTTCAATGCAGTAAGACTTCACCAGGGAGAGAAATACAAGAAAACTTTCCGATACGTAAAACACAAGTGGTGCTTAATTTTCACGGAGTCGAACTGAAAGTTGGCTTCCTCAATTGCTCGACAGTTGACACGGCGATATCGATCATATACCGGAACATCCTACGCGAGCTGGGAGCGTATTACAACTTCACGTACTCGGCGATTCCCTTCTGTAGCGGCGGCTTCAGTAAGGTCGTAGCTGAGGTTGAAGCCGGCCGCATGGACATGGCGTGCGACATGAGCATGCATCCGGAGCGAGCGAAGCAGCTGAGATTTCTGCAGCCGATCTTACGCAGCTACTACGTTCTGCTCATCAAATTCCCAGAGAAGAAAACGCACACGAAACTGAACATGTTCGTGCCCTTTGTTTGCATTGTCTCATGCGGTCTTGTCATTACTGTTCTGCTAGCTGTGCTGAAATACCTGAGCCTGTCCGCCGACAGCTCACGATGCATCTGGGATGAACTTAGCTCTGCTGCCGTCTACGTTTTCGGCACGCTTGCCAACCAAGGCGGAACCTGGGTTAGCGGCAGAATCGCCGATCGCACACTGCGGTTCTCTTGGTGGATGTTTGTGATCGTGATCCTCAGCATGACCCCCCCTTCACACTTCCTACCTCCGGCACTCGTGCCGTGCGCTTGCGGCATGCTACATGAACAGCGCATGCGCAACAACTGCTCGGACGAATATCCACGTCGAATCTATAATAGTATAAGTATAAATCGCTATGTCATCATTCATGCAACTTACTGAATAAACTGCCACCTGCACATTCCACCTAAACCGTATTTCCTGCAGAATTGCGGGGCTTTAATGGTAAGGTAATGGTAAGGTAATGGTAAGGTAATGGTGAGGTCAAATAATTATCCTCAGTTTGATTGGCATGACGTTATAATGTAAAAAAGCCAATTTAACATATTTTACCCAACTACTTTATTCTGCCATTCAAGCCCTGCCACAGACACACTACCTGAAAATGATTACCAGGGTATCTTATAATATTTTATTTGTTCTGTATTAACCTTAAACATCACGCATAGGTGTTTCACCTTTCACTATCGCATTAAATGAATGTTTTGCGATTTGAAATGTAGTAAAAAACAAATGTGAAATCGCTTAACCCCTTTCAGAACTGGATCAGCTATGGTTATAGCTTTGAGGACCAGACGCGGGACAAGTACGAGCATTGGATGAACATGTTTATGGGCGTTACCCTGTGTATCGTCGGTGGAGCATTCATCCTAACCTACATGCCTGACTTCCGGTGAGTGTGTCTACACTGATCAGATGCGAAGCATATTGTCTTGTCTGATACTGTACTAATCGCCTAGTGTGGCTATAAATGTACAGGTCATCATGCATCCTTTAATGACCAAATTTTTTTTCACCTTTCATTTACTGCTGTTAATGAAATTTTTGAATGAAGCCACATCATGAGCAGTGTTGGCAGTAGGTGGTAGTGCATTCCATCTAGCAGCAGCAACACCTGTTTATCCCTATTGTTTGATAAGAGAATTACTTTCATCCTGGTTACACTATTTATTTTCTTCTTGAGGCTTTCTCAAGCTCTGTCAAATGTCACCAGGTTGCAAAAACACTTGTGTTATCATGGGGGACAATGAAACTCTGGGGTAAAATGGAATTAACACCCTGGTGTGGATTCTTTCAGGTGTGAGTTCTTGAAGTAATATGAGAGTAAAGATATTTGATAATGAATTCATGTATTTAACTTGTTAGCAATAGTTTTAACAATTAGTCTAATGACTTTTGTCAAGCTGTATTATGTTGCTTGAAAATTACAATTACACCAGTTGTCAATTGTTGCTAACATGTTAAATATATAGATTTATCACAAAATCAATATACTATTACATTGCCATGAAATAGGATGAACTTATACCAAGATTTATGTAAGGAACGTGTGCAAGATTTTGTCAAAGTGACGTGGTTAAATAAAAAAATTTTACGTGGTGTTTCAGAATGAAGGAATGGTCAGTAAGGGAAGCGTACCTGCAGATAGCTAAGAGTGAGGAAAAAGGCAAGCCACACATAGATGCCGATCTAGTTCCATTAGAAGAGATTGTGTTACCCACGGACGAGGAACTAGGCGAACAAGAAATAATAATTTAAGTGACTGTTTGTTGAGCTAAATCCATATGAATGTGGTTGTACTGTTCTAGGCATTTAGTAAAGTAGTCGCTCGGGAAGCTTTGTTAGTGTGATTTGACAGGTATGTCAAATGACTGAGAGTTCAGACCGACTTGGATTTGTTTATTAAATCAATATCTCATCTCTCAGTCACTTGAAAAGTTAGTGAAAGTGTTGCAAGTTGGTATAACCAGCCAGAATAAGTTATTGCTTTTTCAACCAGTTTTAATCTGTCAAAGTTTTTCTGATATCAGCGCTAACACTGAAGCCACTCTATACTATTAACTCTGTATAAGGTGATGATTAAAATGTAAATGTTTACGAGTTGCTCTGCGTAGATTGGCAAAAGTGGAAAAGGTACAGTGTTTCTTAGTATGTAAGTGGTAGTCTTTTGATATGCCTGCTAATGGATGCTTGGGGCTCTGATACAAAAATGTAAATAGAAAATAAAATCTTGTTGTAATCTTGTTCGCAAAAATTGTTTGTTTGTCTGTTTGTGTGTTTGGAATGGTAATCGCACCAACCTTCCTTTGAGTTACCATCAACACAATATACACAAGTATACTAGTGTACATATATCTTCACCAAGATATCTTCACCAACCCATATCTGCTCCACAAATACCAATTGAACATTGCACTATTAAAATAATATTCAAGATAATATAACCTCATATCCTCGTGAAGATTAGTCTTTAAAAGTCAAACTGACTATATCGAAGACGCAGCGAGACAAAGTTGATCAACTAGAGTTACTAGACAAATCAACACACCAAATTGCAGTAGAACAAGTTCAATTTTGCAATTATTAACAGTGAATGAAAAGACATTTATTTTTTGAATAAGTAGGTACGAAATATGGAAATACCTTTCTCGTATGAGTAGATATATGTTCGCGACTGCACCTAGCTCGACTATTTAGGCGAAATAGACACAATTTCGTACATTTTTGCCGATAGATGGCAGCATGACCGAGAAGTTTTCGCAGGTCAGAGGTCACCTCCCTCGACAACTCACGAAACAGGATATCATATCATCGAGACAAAACTTCACAAATAACAAGTATTTGGAAGCTATGTCGCATCAGACAGGAATAACAGGTAAGTCACTAACGTTAACTGTACAAAGTTAGGCTAATCAGTGTTTCAATTCCTTACAAGATGTTAAAACGTGAATGATAATACAGAACTTCAAGTTCATTCTTCCGTCTCAAATGGCGTAAACGCAGTGGGAGGCGGTCTGGTTCAAGGATAGAGATGATGTCCAGGACGGTGATACTGATAGGATAGGATGATGTTTATTACTGGAAATGCTCTCTATCCTTGAGCCGGTGGTCTGGAGTGGTGGGGCACTGACACTGGGTGGCAGCTCTGTCATTCATTTCTTAAAATTAGTCATCCAGAGAGACATGATACGAGATTGCGTGGCACAGCTTTGCTGTTGATCCTGAGCGCTGCGCGCGGATGAGACGCGCAGTTCCGCTGGATATGCGCACGCGACCGCGGGGATGTTCAAGTATGAAGCGCTGTCCACAGTGGAGATGTGCGCCAAATTCGAGGCCCGGCGCACGTCTCCACAGCGGTCAGCAGATGGTCTGTACTGTAGTTTTAGAAGATAACAATGAAGACTTTGTTCTAAATAAGAACTATCGGCGGCTAAATAAGAGCAATATACAGACCTTTGAGTTTCTTGACTAGTCAGTCAAAGGGCTTGTTGGGGGTCCATTATGCAGAGCTTCCAATTGAAATGGCCCATGTCATGTGGAATTGTGTTTTTCGGAACCCCAAAGAAAATGTCGCCCTCATACATGGCCCTGATCAATCATGCATTCAGGCGTAAACGATAACGGAGATGAAATTGTGTTGAGTTTATGGCCCTTGACGCACGTGCATTGACGTACAAGACTGATGAAAGCACAGGCACTAGGAACGTCTCAATAAAAATAAATCTTCACACAATTTTTCACAATGATCGACAGCCTGTGTGCAAAATAGGTGAACGTATGTGAAACATATATGGTTAGTACTTACTGTGACATATCCGTGACTAACTGACACCACTAAATTGGTAAAATGTTCCATGCACCTTAAGAAATGCTGAGAAATTACGAGGGTATTATCGCATAACTCTCGACACCGCCCATCCTGATGTCACAAAGCTATATATGTAAACAAACACGCGTGTTGCGAGGTGCGTGCCTCCGATATCCATTTCGAGGCCCGCTAAGCCAAGCATAAAGCGCGCGGGCAAGACGTCACACACACAGCCACATTCATTGGCTAAAACAATCGAGTAGCGCGGTTAGGGATTTTCGGGATTATTTAATTTTAAGAAAAACTTTATTGTTCAATGAATGACACACTCGTTCACTTCCGAAAGCGGGTAAAAATGCCTAATTTTTCCACTTCGGTGCGAAATGCATCGGCCGGGCCTTTCATTATTTACGAAAAACAAACAGCCTCACCAAACACCTACACGCAGTAACGGGTCACGTCGTTGACGCCCCATTCATGCCCATCAACAAAGAAGGCGGAGCTTATTCTGATTACGGAGATGCGAAAATGCTACAGAAGGACGTAGCGCAGTGCGCTAAACAGCGTGTTATTTTCGTATTTGTGTTTAGGGTTAGGGTTAGGGAGTAGGCGTAGGCGACTCCCTAGACTCGTTAGTTGAGTAGGCGAGGTAAGGTCCGGCATATTAGATAGTAGCAGTGTACGTTCCGGTATACTGGACCGTATGACCAGTGTACGTACCCAGGGTACGTTCCGGCAGTACCCCGGGGGACATAGACCCTCTCAGCCTAACTGAAGATGAGATATGATATCTCCTAGTTTCTTCTCAGTAAGTAACTATAATTTCCAGTAAATCTCAGTTCTATGGTGAACTATGCTCTCTCAACAGTAACTAAGCGAGAGCTCACATGGTCAGTTGGTCTGTGATACAGGATTTACCAAAGGGTCTGCTGACTATGATGTAATGATGTTGTAACTGCGGCTGGTGGATGAACATGTGGTACTTACTGTATGTGGCCGCTAATGGTATCCACTACAGTTTCGTGCAGAAACAGATGCTGATGTGCTGGCTTCTCAAATGCTTACACACATCCGATGACATCCTAATCTTTCTTTTCTGCTGATGTGTTTCATTTGTGGTTTTCTGGTTTTCGTTTGCATGTTATCATTGACAGAGTGATATCACACTGTTAAAGTGTTATTCACTATTGTTACACTGTTCTTCTAATGTTATCAATGTGGGTAAGACAAAGTCCCCTCCTGAAAGGCTGTATATTAGTGGGGTAAGAAACATTTTGATATGAGGGTTTGACGATCATACTAGTGTATGTTTTTACAGCATGCAGATCGTATGCCAGAGATCATATTTTGCAGATGACGTCAGATGACCAGTGTTTTATGTTAGTCTTCTCTTATGTGTTTGCAGCATCAGAGGAATTGCGGAAGCTGTTTCTCAAAGCCAGAGAGGGAAAAATACGAAGCATTAAAATCTCTATTTTTGATGGTAGGACTCATTAACAATTAATTACTAATTAATCATTGCACTGCTTAGCTAATTAGTCAGATAAGGTGAAGTCTACCTGAAATGAAATAGGTAGCTGTATAGCTGTATTGAGTTTGGCAGTATAAAGCTTTTTAATTACTGGTATATATAATATATAGAAACATACAAACTGTCACAGAACTATGTTTTCTAAGAATCCGTACATGTGATAATCTTTAAGTGTTTGTCGTTTTTGTTTGTTGTTGTAGAGAAACTCACAAGTGATGCAACAGAAAAGGTCCACAGCTCGTGGGACAAAGATATCCTTTTTTAGTTATAGTTTGAACTGTGTTGCGCACTAAAACGTAGGCAAGTAAAGACTAAACAATGAACGGCCAATATCCTACATGAGTTTTCAGGTGTTTTTAAATGATGAACGGCCAATGAATATAGTGTAAGATGGGTTTTTTCAGGTGTTTTAAGTTCTCTATTGTTTTATCCCTAACGTGTCGTCTGCACACTATGACGTTACGGTGCTGCCACACCTTGTGGATGCGCAGCCCTGCTACGTACTGTACCGGCTGGACTCGCGGAATGAGAACGGCTACCAGTGGTTGTTCCTTGCCTACTCGCCAGACGAGTCACCGGTAAGCAAAAACATCCGAACAGACTTTGTGGGAACGTGACGGCATAGTATTGTATAATGTAGCGTAGTTTGGAGAGGAATAGAGTGGAGTGGAGTGAAGTGTAATGTGGTGTAGTGGGGTGTAATGTGGTGTAATGTGGGGTGTAATGTGGTGTAGTGGGGTGTAATGTGGTGTAGTGGGGTGTAATGTGGTGTAATGTGGGGTGTAATGTGGTGTAGTGAAGTGTAATGTGGTGCAGTGAAGTGTAATGTAGTGGAGTGGAGTGTAATGTGGTGTAGTGGGGTGTAATGTGGTGTAGTGTGGTGTAATGTGGTGCGGTGGGGTGTAATGTGGTGCGGTGGAGTTCAGTGAAGTGAAGTGTAGTGGAGTGGAGTGTAATGTGGTGTAGTGGGGTGTAATGTGGAGTGTAATGTGGTGTAGTGGGGTGTAATGTGGTGTAGTGAAGTGTAATGTGGTGTAGTGGGGTGTAATGTGGTGCGGTGGAGTGCAGTGAAGTGAAGTGTAGTGGAGTGGAGTGTAATGTGGTGTAGTGGGGTGTAATGTGGTGTAGTGGGGTGTAATGTGGTGCGGTGGAGTGTAATGTGGTGTAGTGGGGTGTAATGTGGTGTAATGTGGTGTAATGTGGTGTAATGTGGTGCAGTGGAGTGAAGTGTAGTGGAGTGAGGTGGGGTAGGCTGGGGTGCAGTGCAGTGCATTGCTGTGCCGGGTAGGGTAGTCTAGAGTTTAGTAGATTAGAGTAGAGAAGAGCAGAGTAGGAATAGGAGTTTAGTAGAATAGAATAAATAAAATAGTATAGTAGTTATCGCATAGCTATGTATGGTTTGGGGGTTATTGGTTGGTTGTGTGTGGGTCGGTGGTTATCGGTTAGCTGTGTCTGGTTTCAGGTACGGGAGAAGATGTTGTATGCAGCAACACGAGCGACCGTCAAGACAGAGTTTGGACTCGTTCACATCAAGGATGAAATGTTCGGAACGTCAAAGGTATGTCGGCGCCAGAGTGACGTAGTTTCATCGACCTATGCGTCGGAGCGAGGTAACCACATGCTCTTCCCCCTACCAATACCATTCAGGGTTCGTAGCGGGTCTTCCAAAGTCTTATAAGTACTTATTTTGCCAAAAATGAAATAAGGGGCCTTATTAGTACTTATTTTTGGTGAAATCTTAGAAAAGTACTTAATAGTCCTTATTTTTTGCCAAAGGACCATTTTTCAACATTTTCTGTGTTGAATTTCGGCGAAACGGCTTTTTCATAAAAGATCGTCGGGTTTGTCATATCGATTGCTGAATGCGGAGATTTGTTTGTTCTGTTATTAGTGTACTTTAATAGTCGGTGATCTATCAGAAATCGCGTAAAAAAAGTCTTATTTTGGCCTCCAGAAAGGGTCTTATATAAGTCCTTATTTCAACATGTGTCTTACTACTATGAACCCTGTCATTGCTAGGCAGGTTGCTCTAAACCAGCTTGGACGTATTTTGCATGGGCGCACACGCCAAATTGACGACTTTGCGACATTTCGTTGTTAAGTATTGTGTTTTAGAACTTCCTGCCATGAGAGTGATTGGTATACAGAGCTGCGTGGCAATAACGGCAGGTTGGTGGGGGACGATTGTTGGGAGCAAGAGATGTTTATCGGCCGCTGACATTTTCACCTTCCATTGCTACATGAAACTGTTTGTGGTGTGGTGCGCGTGCGTCTACATAATATGGTCAACATGCTGCCTCTTGTTTTTGTAGCGAGAGATGTCGTTCGCTGGGTACGAGCGCCACCTACACGCGCGGGCGGGTCCGGGACCAATGACAGATACGGAGGAGGAGCTGGCACGGCTAAAACTGGAGGAGGTACGTGACGCGATAAATAACCGATAACGATGACGACTCGGTATAGAAAAAAACAAACAAAAACGATTCTTTGTTGCAAGTTGGCATTGTTTTCCTTACAGGCGTGTTGAAAATGTTGTTTACTGTTGTAGTTTTCGCTGCAGGCATGTTGAAAATGTTGTTTACTGTTGTAGTTTTCGCTGCAGGCATGTTGAATATGTTGTTTACTGTTGTAGTTTTCCCTGCAGCCATGTTGAAAATGTTGTTTACCACTAGATGGCGTACCATCCGGTCGACACGAGACATGAAACACTGAAAGGTGTTGCATTCCCGATATCCCGTGAGGCCCTCGACAGCATGGTGGATCTACGTGAGGGTCGCATTAACTATATACAACTTGTAAGTATGTTCACGCTTTCTCCTGCTTCCCAACTAGTGTAGTGTGGATGATAGATATATGGGCATTGACGCAGGGGCGTGTACAGGATTTGTACCAGGGGGGGGTCTAACCGTAACCCAAACTTGCGAGTACAGAAATTTTTTGAAATTAGACCCCCTTAGATGCGTTTTCTGCGCGAGCGAGGGGGGGGGGGTCCGGACCCCCTGGACCCCCCTCCCCTGTACACGCCCCTGTGACGGGAATACATGAGCTTGCAGTCCAACACATACAGATGTACACACGTATACATGTACGTTATGCGGTCACACGCACATGCATACGTAAGCACACGCTCGCACGCATGCACACACACATAAACACGTGCACGCACACGCACACAATGCATACATACGCACGCATATGCGCGTGCACAGACACAACGCACGCACGCACGCATGCACACACACATGCACCCATGACACGCATGTACCACAGACACACGTGTATACACACAAGCATGCACACCTGGGCTCACAACCAACTCCCACCTGTTCACTCATCTACCTGCCCACACGAATACTCGTACATTTCTCTCTATTCATAATTTAAGAACGTCCCTGCGTACCGCGCTGTTCCCAATACCACAGCGGCCGGCATCGCTGAATTCATTTTCCGCTCGATTCGATTGCCAGTTTTTTCGCGGGAAAATTTAAAAAAAAACTTACATTAATCAACATTTAATGATTGGGTGATTTGATGCTTGATTTAATGAGGGTTGGCGGGCAGAGGGTGGTGGTGGTGGTGGTGGTGGTGGGTGGGGGGTGGGGTTAATGAGTCCACTCTGTTTGCAACTCCCCCTCAGTGTAAACCTTTCTCGTGTGTGACAGTTACTTGTGTGTGGAGAGCATTGCAGGGAAAAAAATACACGGGGGGGCTCAGGGCGATTTAGCCCCCGAAATGCCCAAAAGAGCCCCGGAAATGCCAAAAAAGCCCCCCTAAA